ATATAGAGACTCTAAAACATGTCTTTAGATGACAGAGTGACCCATCTTGAGCAGCAATTATACCAAAACTGTAAAACAAATATGTAAACACTTTATATTTAAAATTAAAAAAGGTCATCTTTTGTTATGCTCTATACTACCCAAGTGGAAAACATTTAGCTTCACCTGGTTTAATTTCGTAAAAAAAAAAATTTTTTAGGGAATCAATTAATTGAAGAAAATAATCAACAGGTTAGTCTATTTGCAAAATAATCGTTCGTTGCAGCCATCCTAGAAGGTCTGAATTGTATAGTTGTTTTGTCAATTGTAAGAAAAACTAATAAGATAATGAGGTAAGGTTTTTAATCCTCAGCCTATTAGCAAATATTCATACACAGAGTAGTTTACATTTGATTTAATTGCACTGGTTCCTGTATTAGTGCCAGTAATCCAGTAATTGCCTATTAGTTCCCCATTGTTTATTTTACTTGATCTGCATAGAATAATTAATAAACACAGTTGTGAAATTCTTAGTTTACAGTATATTTAAGATGTAATTATTTTAGTAGGGTCCATACTTCTTTACTTCAATTCTCCAAAAATCCCCAGAATAAAAAAATAATGTATTTTTTTTTAAATGTTGCACATAACTACAGATAATTTATTGTTATTCAGTAACATTTACTGTTGTTAAAAAATTCCACCTTTTGCCACTTTGTTTCATTAAATCCTCTGAAAACCGACAACCTATAGTTGCATCTGTCCTCATAGCCTTTCAATCTAACCCTGATAATGGTAGCCTATCCAAACTATTTCAAAATCTCACTCGAAGGTTTGGTGAAAAGTTGGCATCCCTGAGGAAGCATAAAAAACAGCATTAGCCTCAGTTCTCAACTTTGAGAATCATTGGTTTGTACAATTAGCCTAGTTAGGGTAGCCAATTTGATATGTGTTATGTTTGGTTACCAAAAAGACTAAATATGCATGCAGATGTGAAAGTTTAAGCAAAGATGTGCGTCTTTTGTCATAAACAAGTGGTATTGTTTGACTTTTGTATAAAGTTTCCTTAGATATTACTGCCTGCTGCTTTTTATGAGAGGAAACAGCTCATGCAGTAACAGGGAATTCCTATATTTCTTTTTTTTATTATTATTATTCCTTTCTAGTGCATCTGGGCTGTACCATAAGACGGCCCATTTAAAAACCAATAAATGACAGTTATGAAACGACTTCCCATTCTTAGCAATGGTCATGGAATAGCATTAATGGGGTGGATATGTTCGGGCAGGTTTTAGCATCTGGGGCGGCGGTATCGTTTCTCAGGAAATTAAGTTCATCCTGCTGCTCATAGAGCAGGTTTAAAAGGTTTTGTAAACTGGGCTGGTGTGGAGTTTCCCCCTGGCTGTAAGACAAGTCCCTTCACTTTAAATCAACAGTGACGAGCGCTTTAAGGTAACATCTGCTCTATGAATAGATGAGGTACCAAGGTACACAGAGGGACAACGGATCTATGGAAATTAGTCTCTTATTTGGGTTTAACTTTTGCTTTAATATAAAAACAACTTGTGTTAGACCAACTGACAATTAAAACTGCTTTATATGATGATGTCTCTTTCAGATTACTTAACCAATACTAAAATGAGACGAATATAACACAAGTAAATATACAGTGTAGTTCTCAAATGATGATTAGATTTAGTAAAGGAAAACTTGTCCGCTTACAGAAGGACTCATCAGTTAAATGACTGGTTGTTCACCTCTTTTAAACACAAACTGCCATTAAACATCTAGGATGAGGTTTTGACTATATATATATATATATATATATATATATATATATATATATATATATATATATATATATATATATATATATATATATATATATATATATATATATATATATATATATATATATATATATATATACTGTATATATATACTGTGTATATATATACTGTATATCTATATCTATATATATATAGATATAGATATATATATACAGTATATCACCATGAAGGATTCTTGACCTACTGATCTTTGCTTTGCTTTTTAATCCAACAAATTTGAGGGTTTTCCAACCATATTTTTTGCAAGATCATCCTTATTTTAAGTTAATTTTGCTGTTATTCTTCCTTATAAATCAAACACACAAACTACAGACCTCAAGCTTATGGCTGGGCATTCTTCTTGAGAGTTTTTCACTAAACAGCAAGTTCAAGGCCTCATCGGGTCCTAAAGCAGTAAAGCTGTCCCAGATCTTTACAGAAACATCGCCATGTTTGACTGTTGGAGCAGAGGAGCCTGAGCACACTAGATTTCAGAAAAAGGGGGGCATGGATTAGGTGGGAATCTACCAAGGAGCAATTAGGCCTGACGGGTAGAAGCATGATCCATGCTGTATTTCCTCCTTCCCGAGAACAGTTTATGATACCTTTGTTAGCTCTGTTAATCTTCACAGCTGGGTTATAAAAGATGACCCAAGGTCTGTGGGCCAAAGAGGAAGGTGGTATGTATGATATCAGAGATGAAATAAACAATATCTACCATTCTCTTTGTTAAGTGGGCAACAGTGGCATCGGATGCAGGAGTTTGCTCTGCAATAGCAGCGCTGTCTTTTTGTTGTTGAGCAAGACACTTCACCCGCATTGTCTACTGATAGTGGTCAGAGGGCCTGATTGTGTCAGTATATGGCAGCCTCACTTCTGCCAGTGAGCCCCAGGGCAGCTGTGGCCACAATGTAGTTTGCCACCATCAGTTTGTGAGTGTTTGCGTAAATGTGTGAATGACTGAAAGTAGTGTAAACAGCTATATGAGTACAGACCAAGGAGGGGTAAAAGGTGGGAGTCAAAAAGTCACCTAACATCTCCTGTAGTTAACCCAGAGATGAAAGCTAAAGATTGACTTAGACTTAGACAACTGTTAATGTCATCTTGTACCATACCATACCATACCAGCTTTATTTATAAAGCACTTTAAAACAACCACAGTTGATACAAAGTGCTGTACAGTTTAAGAACACAACATAATAAAAATAATTTAAAAACAGTTTAAAAGCAAAAAAACATACAATTTAAAACTAGATCCCACTGGTGTTGAAAGCCAAGTAAAATAGATGGGTTTTAAGACTTGTATACAAAGAGTGCATATAAAATAAAATGTTGTTTTGTACAGCTCTTATGACATTTCCATTTCTGAAAGTGCAGCAGTGATCAAAACAGTGTGGGAGAAAAAAAGAGTGCAAAAAAAAAAAACCCCATTGCTATGGAAGTTCAGAGCTTTAAATATATATGGTGCAATTTTGCAGTGTTTTGGTTTGGTGTCATCAGTGTGAATCAGAATCTGTGACATGATTTAGATTTTTTTTTAACAGTTCAGCTGTCTAATGGAAGTGGGGAAGAAGCTGTTTCAGAATCTGCATCGGATGCTTCAAAGCCTCTTCCCAGAGGGCAGCAGAGAGAACAGTCCATGGTGGGAGTATGATGGGTCATTGATAATATTACAGGCTCAGGACACGCAGCACTGAGTTAAAATGTCTTTTATGGAGGGAACAGGAGCCCCGATGATCTTCTCTGCTGTTCTCACTACTCTTCTCACCAAGGTGAAGTACAAGCTTCCCTTTCAGGACATTGTCCTCGACATCTTTGGCCCTGATGCAGTATTGTCTTTCACAGATTAAAGGACTGATACAGTGGAACTTAAAGAGCCTTTGAAAGAGACATGCAAATATGTATCTGAGAGCAGAAAACTACAAAGACCAGATCCAGAAGTGCAGGGACAAAGGCTGGAAACGTTGGACATACCCAGTTTGGATAAGATGCAGAGACTTCGAAGCCAAATCAGCCTTTGAATGCTGCACTTCTGCAGCAACTTTTTACCAATGATTGAAGGAGATGCATCCCAGGTTGTATGTATTTACTGCAGGGATCATCAAAATGTGGGAGTTATGGAATGAGTACCTATTTTTTTCTATATCAGCAGTGCTTTTGGCCTTGGAACTATCGTATGAATGTTTTTTCCATTAAATTTAATTACCTTTAATTCCATTCATTAAGCCATGAACACTGACCTTAACAGAGATTAGGTCTACTGTGCTTCAGAGGTTATTCCAGGTTTCTTTATTGACCTCCAGTATGACTCAATGCCCTCCTGGAGCATTCACCACTGCTGTTTGCTTTCTCCACTTCTCCCTCTGAGGTTTACTGGAGCCACAGAGCCATAGCCATAAGCCATAACCTTATTTTATTGATGGATCTTAATATCTATCCCATCTATTGGTGAATTACCTTACACATTTGTTGCTTTTTCAGACCTTGTAGCCATGTCTTGATTAGTAAGCAGTGAAATCCCCCCAAAAAATAGTAATTCATCCCAATTAATTTATATGGTTAGGGTTTTACATGGAGCCAGCTAAATTATGGTTTTCAATGATCAATTGTAAAAATAAGAATAAAATGAAGGCAGCTGTTACTTTTCACAGAACTGGACATATATAGAAGGCTGAAAAATATCCCACTCTGGGTAACAATAAATTTCTTGATCAAAAAATGTTCAACGACCTTAGAAAAGAAGCATTTTGATAAATCATCTCATTTCCCTGCATGCCCTAATGTTGAAGTTTTCCCAGCACCAGAGGGGCCTTACTGGGCGTTGTATGAGTCAGCAATGAAAGTATCCAACCAACTGGGAAAGCAGAAATAGCTTTTTCTAAACCTCTGTGGCAACATACTCTGGTGAGACAAGCTTTATTAGCCATGAGGTTTTATTTGAGTGAAAATAATGTATCCTATCACACATATTTTAACTTTATAAAAAGAAAAAAAAAAGGATATTCATGATTTGCTTAAAATTATTAACATAAATTGTCCTGCTAATCACTGGATTCACTAGCTGAAGCAAAGAGCAGGTTATTAGGAATGTAAGGAAAGGACCAAGCAGTAGATAAAAACCCCAGATTCAACATTTCTTGCATTAAATCTCACCACAGTTGCCTGTTTAAATCAAGGGGAACAACACAGAAGTCACACTTATATATGATATGTTTTTTATTTCACATATTTACACTACAGGGGGCGAAGTAGGACATGTGACAAGAGGTGAATTCAGAGCACGGGAGCGAAACTGTGGCACAAAGGGAACTGACACAAACAGGGCTAAGAATAGAAGGAGGAGTGGTTTCTATTATATCTAGGTGGATAATTAAACAAATGCTGCGGTCACATCTAAAGATAGCAGTAACAGGCAAAGTTAAGACTTGTGTGAAATCTTGTGATGAAGATTTAGCAGGAAGTTTTCCCATAAATCAGAAAAGGCCAAACTAAATATTCCGTTTCTTAATACATGATTAACTGAGTAGCGATTTCTGGAACTGTTTGGGGATTAAAATAAGAATCTCTGAATGCCTTTAGTATGACATGTACTTCTTAAGATTAATGCTTGCACCACTCACAGGGATTATGTTTTCATGTTAACATGTTATGAATTGGACAAGCCTTGACCAGCAAGGCTTTCAAGTTAAGTTAAAAGATCTGGGCTAATTAAAATGTAAACAGAACCGACATGTTGACACTGAAATAAATCTAAAACCACATTACACAGTGCAAGTAGCAGGAGCAAAGTGCAGTTTGCTCCTTTGCAGTATGGGAAAACTCAATCTGGCATCATCTGATCTTTGCATGTGGAAATCAATACCGGTCTGAAATACAAAGACATCGGAGGGGAAAAGTGTACTACCATTACCTCATAGCTCTTCCTCTGTTTTTACCTGCATGATATTGTCCTGCTGTTCTGATTGTGCAATCTGACTCTCGTTAAAAAGTATATTAAACTGGAGGTCGTTAAACTGGGAAAAGTCCTGTGGGCATGATCCATAGTTTGCATTGAGGTTAATATTCATAAGGGTGGGGTCAATATCCGGTAATGAATTCTGTCCAGCCCAACACAGGAATTCAGTTAGAAGACATGGGTCTTCTAAAAAGTCGGGACCACCAATTGCCATATCTGCAGCAGGCGAAATCGGATGTTGGCTCTCATCTGATGGCATCACATACTGTGTCTTCACGGGGAAGGTGAGAGTCTGCTCTGGAGGTGGTGTAGACTCTGTAAAGAATATCAAACAGGTTATATTACATGTAAAAAAGACAACTCTGAATTAACTGTTAAAGGCGAGTTCAATATTCCATATTGGTGATATAACTTTAAAATAACTTGAGAGCAGCACACTTACAAACAAAAACCTATATAGGAAACACATAAGTGGTATATATAAACAGATATTTAAAGAAAATTCAATTCAGTTTATTTTTAAAGCTCCAATTGACAACACATGTCATCCCGATGCAATTCACAGTTCACCAGATCATACAGTCAAATTGATTTAAAGTTTTGTATCTAAGGAAAACCAGTTGATTGCATCGACTAATTAACTCCAATGCAATCCCCCATACTAAGCATGCTTGTAGCGACAGCGGAGAGGAAAAACTCCCTTTTAACAGGAAGAAACCTCCAGCAAAACCAGGCTCAGTGTGAGCTGCCATCTACCGAGGCCGACTGGGGTTCAAGGAGAAAAACAGTTCTGAGGTTAATCATATTACCTATGATACTTTTGTTTTAAGGAAATTAGGTCATATAGATCCATATGCTTAATCTGTCTTTAACAACTTGTGAAGGTGAGTTGGATAAAGATGGAGGTAGTTAAGGAAGTCTGATGTTAGTGGAGAGCCTGCTTAGGCCTCCTTTGGGTATATTTATTTATTTATTATAAAACTTGGTGCCAACATTCAGAGCACTGAAAAGTATCAGACAGTCACCGTTTCAGCAAAGGGTTCAGTGGGTTGCACAATAGTTTATAGTGTTAATTACTATACTATTCAGCTTCTATATTGAATTTAGAAATGTTGGCAATATCTTGGGAAACTGTGACAGAAAGTAGGAATATCTGAAATTTAGAAAGATTCTAGAGACAGCTGTTCCTGCTAGCGTGCTAACTGCGCTAACGGCTAACAGATGCTCAATAAGAAGAACGTTAGAAAAAATATATCACCATCAAAAATTTTCGGTATAATTTCACCATTAGGACCAAAGTTATATAAAACAAGCCTTTATTTCAATTTTTATGCATCCATATGAATGTATTTTTTTTTACCTGTTAGCATTACCTGTTAGCAAAAACATTTCTAAACTACTCTGCGTTCAGCTAATTTTGGATGTAGCTATTTTTTTCTCTTTTCACAAAAATTTAAACCCAATTAAACCACAGAGTTTAGAGCAGCTTTTCTTCTATGACTGAAATAGAAATTAATATTTGGCAAAGCATTTTAGCTGTGCACCTCAGAGAGGCTGTGTGGTTTGTCAGTGTTAGCTATACAGCGCTATGAGCTATAAGAAAAAGTTCAGGTATCTTAGTCCTTAAAATATCCCTTTAATCAAATACCCTTTATGATATAAGTCCACCTTAAGAAGCTGGCCTGCCATGTCACATGAATTGTTTACAGGGCAGTTTCCTACTTCTTCATTCAGGTTTCTGTACATTTCAACAGCCTTAGAGGCCAGCTCATGCAAATGTCACCATCCTCATGTGATAAACTCATCACATATAAACCTCAAGAGAAGAGCAGGCTTTTTTTTTTGTAAATTAGCGTATTACTGATGTTTTTTAGAAGCTTTGGAGGTGATATTTAGATAAAGAGTAACCTCCTTCAATAAAAACCAAAAACAATGAGTCATGCAGCCACATGACATTGATGATTTATACTTTCTTTTATAGGTCTATTGGTTTTTTCTCAGAAGTGTCAATAAATGAAGACATGTTGCCTGGTTCTTTTGCTGTGCCGCCAGGTTAACTGTACCAGCTCAGTTCAACAAGTATAAAATCACTAAATTAAACATATGCATTCATGTTAAATATTAGAGAACAGGGTGTAAACCTGATGTCAAGATATATAAATATATTTAAGTGTGATTAAGTTACAGCACCATGTTTCTTTTATTATTTCTTAAGATTACCCCCACCCCCCACTGACATATTTTAAATCAGAGGAAAATCAAGGAGCTGATAATCTCACCTGTTAGTAACATTATAATTTTGCTTTGTTTTGTTTTTTTGATCATTTGATTATTGACCCATTCAATTTGAACTAGCAGTCATCATTTCAGGGCTTCCTTTTTCTTTAAAAGGTGTAAAAACAAAACTTATATTTTGAAATCTCAATTTTAAGTCCTATAAACCTTTTTCGAAAGCTCAGATTTTGTAAAATTTTATTGAAAGGTATTCATTTGTTAACTTAAGATCTTCAATCGTTTTCTTTAATAACTAAGTTTATACATTGGAGACTGAGTCATCGTACGTTCAGGAAGTAAAATGTTCACAAGTGGCTCCTTTGTCTCAATAAAGTGTTTATTCACCAGGGTTTGTCTCTAAAGCGGGGGATATAATGGATAACCAAAAGGCTCAATGTGATCCTCAAGAATGATTTGAATTCAAGTAGCCAACATGAAAAAAACAACAGGATTATTTCTACATTTCTTTACTTAATAGGTGATCGGAATTTTTAATTAAGTTTTAAGATTAATTGAGCTAAAAATCTCCTATAAGGACTTTCTTTGAATCTGGAACCAAAACCACGATTATTGATCAACTAACACTAGAAAATAAAAGCATCAACAATCATAATTCTAATCATAAAATTCTCAGATTTAGATTATAGATAATCCCTGATTGATTTCCTTATTACAATTAACAATTAACTTCCAGAAAAGGGACAGTTGTTCTGCTCTATTTAACACACTGAAACTTTATTTGCTCAAATCAGCGACTAACATGGTCTGGTGCTACCTTTTTAACTCTTACATGTTCTGGTGATTTTTAAATGAGCCAAACGTCGCTGCCCTTCTTCCTCTCATTGATATTTTTGAGGATGTGGTTGTCTAAATTTGCTGAAGCTGTAAAACTGACAAAAACTACTGGGGATTTCTTTTGTTTACAGTAATCCAATATCATGGGCTGTCAGTTATTTAAAAGAAAAAAAAAGCAGAAGAGCTTAAGATTGTGAATGGTTCCAACATCTACAGTCATTAAACTGAGAGTCTGCTCAGCTTTAACAGAACAGTCATTTTTTAAATCTTATTCATGAGTCACACCAAAAAAAAGAAAACGTCAGACTGAAAGCAGAAGTCTTACCTGTCACACTGATGTCCCTTTTTATTGTGGCTCTTTTTCGCTTCACTTCATACGGATCTGAAACACAAAGCATCCAGGCTTGGAATCATCTTTCTGCGGTTCTACAACCTGTTCTTCCAGTTCTCTGATTAAACTTTGCCCAAAACAAGGCGACAACATCTGCTTGTCGTACCAGGATTGTGTGGCAGGTACGTGAAGGTGACGGGCTCGCTCTCCATCTGGTCTGAGATGCGACGCAGGACGACCCCTACATTGACCTCCTCTGTGATGTCTTGGTCCTGGTAGGGCGGGGTTTTAAACACGATGGCTATCTGCCGATGGACGTCTGTCTGAGCAAACTCTCCGTTTGCCTTCCACAAGCCTTGCTTGAAGATGATCTCTATGTCATCTGGTGATTAATGCAGAAAGAACAGGCCAATCTGTGACTGTTCTTTAAATCACAGCAACAATATTAGAATTGATATGTAATTTGTTTGCTTTGAGCATAATATATACTTATATTCACAGTCACAGGAAATAAACAAACAGGCGGTGAGGAAGAAGGAACTACATTTCCATTTTGAAACTACAGTTTGGAAGCTCCTCTGCATGTCTAATGAGGAACATGCTGGCTACCTGATCAGATAGCCAGACTCAACCACCTGCTAATCTTAGCTTTGTCTGTTCTGAGCAAAATACTAATAAAGGTGAAATATTAGGTGAAAGACGCACATTTTTCTCAGTGTGTGTTTAGTCTACATATCAAAATATCCATATTTAACATAACTTACATTTATATTAGCCAGAATAGGAACAAATAAGGATGCAATTTTGATTTTTGTTGTTGCTAATTTAAGATTATAGTGATTCTCTTAAAAATCCAATTTAATTAAGTTTATTCAAAGAAAAAAATGCAAAGTCTAACCATTCAGATTTAAATACTTATAGTGGCAATAGATCCTAATTGTAATAGGGCTCCAAGTAACGATAATTGATCTTATAACTACTTTTTTTTTTTTTTTTTTACGAATAAAAATCAGATTGCAAAAGATGCATTTTTAGAATTTTTTATTACACATTCTATACATTATTTAAATGAGAAAATGTAAAACCTTTGTACAGTTTTGGCTTTTTTACTGTTTTGAGTTGGATGTTCTTTTAGAGTCTGTATTCTACACTTAGGTATTATTTTATTTCTGAATTGTTCTTATTCAAATACTCGGAAAATCATGTTTAATTTGATTTATAAAGCCCTTAATTGTAATAATTACAATCAAACCATATAATGCCAGTATTTCACAACTTGTCTGCAAAGAAATTCAGAGAAGTTATATTTCAAAACTTCTAGCATGTTTGGTACTTTTTGTAGCAAACGTTTCAAATGTGAAACATTTTCTACAAAACATTTTTCACTTTTTGTCTCAAACATAATTTACAGAAATGTTAAGTATAATTCAAGCTCAGGATCATTAACAGACAACCATCTCAACAGAATTTGGCAAAAAGGTGAAATTTTTTGTTTCTCAATTACATTTTAATGTCAAACCATATCCTGCTGCATAAATCTGTCAGTTATTTAAGTTTAATGGTAGTTTTGTTGCCCCTCCCTTTTAAAAGTCTCAAATTTTTACCAACAGAAATAGTTCTGAGTGGAGAAATCTCTCCCTCACCTTTCTGCACTTTGTCGCACAGCATGTAGACCTCCGTCTTTCCTCTGCAAGACCCTCTGTTCAAATTCAGTTGGCAGATCTTCAGCTCTGATGTAGTTGTTGCCTCTTTATAAGAACCCAGAACAAAGTGTGAGCGCAGCTCATCCTCACAGATGTTGGAGGAAAAAAAAGTCATCAGGTAGTGTTGGGCAATTTCTTACTCTTGTCATAAATTGGTTTGGAGACAACTGGGGAAAGGGCGTCCTTCCTGCCGTCGTCCCACTCGAGCACACACTCAAAACACAACCGTACTGCATTCATGTCGATGTCTTCAATGCTCTTAGTGTGACCAGCTGAAGGAGAGAGTGGAGACATTATGCAAGGTATTCAGAACCGTTAAGCAGGGCTGAAACAGTTAATTGGATTAATTGTGATTAATCCATTATTGAAATAATCGTCAACTAATTTAGTAATCGATTAATCATTAAATGGAGTGTAGAGACTGTAAAACATGCCTTTAGCTGACAGAGAAACCCACTTAGAGCAGAACTTATATCAAAAATTGTAAAAAAAAAAATTTGTAAACATTTTTGCATTTAACATTAAAAAAAGATTTTTATCTGTCCATATGCTCAATCCAGAATTCCTCAAGTGGAAAAGTTTTAGCTTCACCTGGTTTGATTTTGTAAAAAAAAAAAAAAAATCTGTTGGTACCTGTTGGTATCTGATTTTTAATCAAATATTAAAGAAAATAAAAGTTAGTTGCAGCCCTACAGTTCAAATGAGCAAAAACAACTGCAGTTTCATGTTTGTGCGTGATCCTTACTCTTAAAAGGGTCAATATTGTGGCTTCTCCTTCTCTGAAGTGAGACGTCCAACTCTTTCCTTCTCACACACTGGATGCCAAGATTGGAAAAGCTGCAAATTTTAACAAACAAAAGCATAAAACTACTGAAAATAAAGGAGTTCTTTAATATAAGGTAACCCTATGGATGTTTACCTGTGACGCCGGGTGGTATGAGGGTTAAAGGAGACCACACAGATGCCAGAACCGACTACGCAGTCTTTACCCACGAGGCAGTGGGGGTGAGGCCGGTAGGGAATGTCTTTGGTGACCAAAGAAACCGTTACTGTGACTTTCTTGATGTGGTCAATGGGACCCTGAATCTGAGACAGACAGAAAGACAAATCAATCTTTTACTGAACAAAATAGAAACACATTTAAATAGAGCACAAATGGTAAATTAAAGATAGACGGTCAACACAGGACTACAGTAAGCTCTTAACATAAATGCTTTAAAATTTTACGATAATCAGAGTATTTTGAATTTGGAAACAAATCATGCAAGATACAACAGTCAGTTCGACTTTTTGCCTGATGAGCAAAAAAATGGCAATGTTAAAGTAGTTGTTGGTCAAAAATTTTTCTGTGTCAGAACCTCTATAACAATCACGAGATACCATTTCCTGCCTTAGAAAACATGCAAAGACTTTTTGGTTTGATGCTTAAATGGAAAGAATACACGAGAAAACACTTTCTACCCACTGCTACTACTTTAAATCATTTACTGATGTAAATAACCCTTTGTATCAGACAATAAAACAACAGCTGTACATGACAGGAAATCCCATAGTAAAAATACATAGCAAGATAAAAAAAAATGAAGTGGAAGAATGTTGGACTATAAATTAAAATAATGTTTAGGCAGCTCAGTCAAAGGTCATTTAAAACAAAGGTTTAATCTGGATTTAACGCAAAGAAAGAGTTTCGCTACTTTTACATGGGGGTTTGTTCCAGATTAGTGGAGCAATAGAACTAAATGCTGCTTCTTCTTGTTTGATTTTGGTTCACGACAAGAACAGACAAAAAGTCTGTGATGTATTTTGCTACTAAGCCATTCAGTGATTTATAGACCAACAGACATAGTTTAATGTCTATTCTCTGAGAGACGGGGAGCCAGTGTAAGAACTCGTATTACAGGTGCTGGTCATAAAATTAGAATATCATGAAAAAGTAGATTGATTTCAGTAATTCCATTTAAAAAGTGAAACTTGTATATTATATTCATACATTACATACAAACTCATATATTTCAGATGTTTATTTTGTTTAATTTTGATGATTACAAATGACAACAAATGAAAATCTCAAATTCATCATATCAGAAAATTAGAATATTACTGAAGACCAATAAAAACAAAGGATTTATAGAAATGTTGGCCAACTGAAAAGTATGAACATGAAAAGTATGAGCATGTACAGCACTCAGTATTTAGTTGGGCCTCCTTTGGCCTGTATTACTGCAGCAATGCGGCGTGGCATGGAGTCGATCAGTCTGTGGCACTGCTCAGGTGTTATGATAGCCCAGGTTGCTCTAATAGTGGCTTTTAGCTCTTCTGAATTGTTGGGTCTGGTGTATTGCATCTTCTTCTTCACAATACCCCATAGATTTTCTATGGGGTTAAGGTCAGGAGAGTTTGCTGGCCAATTAAGAACAGGGATACCATGGTCCTTCAACCAGGTACTGGTAGCTTTGGCACTGTGTGCAGGTGCCAAGTCCTGTTGGAAAATGAAATCTGCATCTCCAAAAAGTTGGTCAGCTGCAGGAAGCATGAAGTGCTCTAAAACTTCCTGGTATGTGGCTGCGTTGACCCTGGACCTCAGAAAACACAATGGACCAACACCAGCAGATGACATGGCACCCCAAACCATCACTGACTGTGGAAACTTTACACTGGACTTCAAGCAACGTGGATGAAGTGCCTCTCTTCTTTTCCTCCAGACTCTGGGACCTTGATTTCCAAAGGAAATGCAAAATTTACTTTCATCAGAGAACATGACTTTGGACCACTCACCAGCAGTCCAGTCCTGTTTCTCTTTAGCCAAGGCAAGACGCTTCTGACGCTGTCTGTGGTTCAAGAGTGGCTTGACACAAGGAATGCGACAGCAGAAACCCATGTCTTTCATACGTCTGTGTGTGGTGGTTCTTGAAGCACTCACTCCAGCTGCAGTCCACTCTTTGGGAATCTCCCCCACATTTTTGAATGGGTTTTGTTTCACAATCCTCTCCAGGGTGCGGTTATCTCTCTTGCTTGTACACTTTTTTCGACCACATCTTTTCCTTCCCTTCGCCTCTCTATTAATGTGCTTGGACACTGAGCTCTGTGAACAGCCAGCCTCTTTAGCGATGACCTTTTGTGTCTTGCCCTCCTTGTGCAAGGTGTCGATGGTCGTCTTTTGGACAACTGTCAAGTCAGCAGTCTTCCCCATGATTGTGTAGCCTATAGAACTAGACTGAAAGACCATTTAAAGGCTTTTGCAGGTGGTTTGAGTTAATTAGCTGATTAGAGTGTGGCACCAGGGGCCATCAATTTTGAACCTTTTCACAATATTCTAATTTTCTGATATGATGAATTTGAGATTTTCATTTGTTGTCATTTGTAATCATCAAAATTAAACAAAATAAACATCTGAAATATATGAGTTTGTATGTAATGTATGAATATAATATACAAGTTTCACTTTTTAAATGGAATTACTGAAATCAATCTACTTTTTCATGATATTCTAATTTTATGACCAGCACCTGTACTAGATGCATGTTTCTAGATGCAAGCTGTAAGTCACTTTTTAAACTGTCTTCCTTAAATTAAAAAAATATTCAGTTTTGTTTTAAATCAGCTGAAAACAATTTAAGCAGATCCATGCAAAACAGACCAAACAAAGAAACCAGTAAAAGCTATAATAATGCTAAATTAAAAATTGAGAGCACTGATGTAAATAAAGACAACTTGTTTAATTGAACTGCAACATATATAGGGGGGGGAAAAGGGGACCGAGAATGGAACCCTGTGGAGTCCCACATGATAGAGAAATATAGGAGGATACTTTATTAATCTGAAATGTGAAATAGCTCTCTGTCAGATAGGCTGTAAACCATGCTGGCTTAAGGGCTGGTTATACACCATCAGCAGTGTGTCACAGTTGGCTTGTCGCAGTTATGATGTAGATATTTTTGATTTATGCCCAATTTTGAAGTGTGGTCTGCGCTATGTCATTCAAAGCCACAACGCAAGAGGTGCAATCACGAACCCGCTGTGGGTCTAGATACAGTCGAGGCGGTGAGGAAGTGGAAAAACGCAAGGGGCAAGTTTGTGCGACAACGGAGGGACAAGAGGGCGAAAAAGGAAAAAGAGCGGGGATCCAGGTGTAAAAAGGGTCCCAGCGCTCTCACGCAAACAAAACAAGCCGGTAAGGTACCAAACAGGAAATACGCATAGTGTAGAGCTGATGTAGATTTGACCAATCAGAGGCCTCCTTTCGGCAGCACTGTCTGCGGTCACCTACAATTTGGAAGAGCTGCACCAGAGTGTCTGCGGAAGGGGAGGGGCATATCTGCATCAACTGCAACACACACGCTGATGACCTGGTTTCTGAGTATAAATCAGCCTTTAATGGGACAGAATGATCAAAAGCTGTCGTGAGGTCCAGCAGCACCACACTGTCTAAAGACATAGCAATATACGTATGCACTTTAATGAAGGCAGACTCTGTGCTATGTCACAATCTAAAGCCAGCCTGATTATTCTTTTTCGTTCTTCAAAAATACAATAATAATTATAAAGAAGACTGTTGTCTGTTGTTAAAATAATGCTTTTAAAATCTTTGAAAGGAAATGAGAAATAGCAACAAAAAAAATTTCCAAAAAAACAAGTGATCCTGAACTAAGACACGTGTTTAAAAGATAGGACAGCAGGACTAATTAAATAAAATAAATGTATTTAAAAGCTTAGGAGGGATAAGAGGCAATTATAAGTTCTCATGTCCTGCATTTTTATTTTCTCTAATGATATAAAGTCACTGATTCAAACTGATCAAACACAGCAGAAACAACAGCGAAAGCAATGACAACTACATTACCAGGGGAACCATGTCTAAAAGATTCTACTTTAAAAAAAAAAAAAAAAAGGAGGAACAAAGCAATTACAGAGGCTGTGGGTTGATGAGACTAAACATTCTCTGTAGTAGGGAATCTCTAATGATAGGTGACTGATGCTCTCCTCAAGGTCCAGGGAACCCGGTTAGAATAAACAGGAACGAACAGTTAGAAATCACAGCTAATTTTCTTTTAAAAACCTGCTAGGGAACCAAAAAAACTATTCCAGCCATCACTGGAAGATAACAACTCTTAAGCTAAAAGCAAACAACATATGAAGAACATCTTCCACAGCCACATCAGTCCCAAGACATAAATCTTGATTAGAAACATATTTATTATTGTTAAATGTAATATGCTGTTAAAGCAGCAAAAGACCTAAGAGAGGCTGAGACCAATATTTTATCTGTTGGTTACATTCAAAAATAAAAAAATGACAATGAGTTGACAGTGAAAGAGAATCTGGTTGTTGCAGCTGTCATAGAATAACCTGTTGATCCAGTTTGATGCTGTTCTGCATATTTAAACCTCTTTATTATCTTCTTTTTGAAATCTCCAACTGTTTCACCAACTTGACTATTATGTTTGTCAATTTCAGTTTATTTTACCAGCAGCTGATTTTTTTTTCTTCCTTTGGAAGGGTACGTAAACTTTAAAGCACAGCTGTATGTGTATGGGTTGAAGGTGTTTGGGTGTGATGTTGTAGAAAGAAAGGGGATAAACCTCGAGTGTCTGACCACAGCAGGGCTGGGATTTGCGGGGACTTTCTGATCGATGGTAACCCACCACATTCTATCAGCTCCGCCCCAATTTCCACACACTTTCTTTGCAGGGGTTCACAACAAACACCAGCAGTTGTGGTTAGCCTCTCTAACCGTTTTGTTGGGGCAGTAAACTCCCTTTTAGGTAACGAAACCGAAATGGTAGGTGTACCTCTATTGTGGGCTGCGTCTTGTTGTTATCGGTACTGGAAGCCCCTAGGATGCTGCCGGCAGAGCGTCCTTCACACTCGTAGCGAAACCGCATTCCCCTGTCCTTGGGTTCCTCCACCACCACCAGCTTGGGCTTCTCCAAAATCTGCTCCAACATGTTAGCGTTGCTTTGGAGGCCTTGGTGGGAAGAAACGGAGGCCTTGTTGGTCACCGAACGAGAAAGCCCCCAGCCCTGAACAGCGAGGCCCGCCAAGGACCCAGAGGGGTGGGAATGATGAGCAGACGCAATTGAGCCGAGTGGGCTGGGCTGAGAGAGAAACGAAAAACAACAGCGAAGCATGTTAGCATGAAGAAACATTTCAATTTTCTTTTATGTCAAATCCCTCAGAAGCTTTTATTGCTGCCTCATTTGCATTAACCGCAAGCTTACGTTGGGAAAAACTGCATAAGATTGGGAAGGATAAATCTCTCTGCTGATATAATCATACTTATATAGCAGTGGTGTGACTTGTGTGGAAGATACAAACCAAAATACAGACTCCATTTTTTTGTAACTCTAATTTTATAACATTTTTATTTCTCTTGAAAAACTACACTACGCTGTGTGTAACATTTTCTTCTAGCCTTTCTGCAATGATTTAAAAATGAAAAATACAAGTTAGAGGCAGAAGATGTGAGACCATATGTGGATGAGCCATTGCTGAGGAACAAAATGTTACCATTCTAAAAGTAGACAAAACAATGACAAAATTGGACATTTAAGACATCCTTTAACATCTTAGGTTGACAGTTAACTCTGTTATTGCTTTTCTAAAGCCAGATTCTCTATAGTTTTCTAAAATGTTGCCCACATTCTTTACATTTCTTTAACCCAGTTAACCTTCCTGTTATCTGCTCAAAGTTTTACTCTCTCTCTCAGGCCTGCCTTGACAAATCCCTTCCTTTTAAATAACTTCATACATCTCTGGGCTTCCACTGAATTTAACTTAATTTATAAACCTACAAACTGACTAAAGAAAATATCTGCCAATCTTAAAAATTTTAAAGCAGTCTGGAAAGAACAAAAAAGAATTCCTTGGTTTTTGTGATATAAACTAAAAAAAAACAAGGATTTAAATCGGTGATATAACTAGAGAAGATTATAATAAACTTTAGAATAGATCTGAATGATAAAACAAAAGTACTTCTTCTAACTTGTCGTTATTTCATACCTGAAAGCTAGAAATGTGTCATCCGGTTAACAATTAGACAGCAGAGTAAATTGAAAATAGAAGAAAATATTAGCCAAAGAAATCCATTTAAAAATTGTAAACGTTTTCTTACCCCTCAGACAAGAAAAGCAGCAGCAGTTAAAGCAAGCTCAAGTAATTTACATCTAAAGTGTTGGTTTCATTAATTTAAAGTCTATCAAACAGACACCAGAGAAACAGCTGTTTATCAGCTAATTACAGCAAGTTAAGTCTTCTTGTTTATTCCGTCATACATGTGCTTTTTATCAGCACACAGAATTAAGCATGTGCTCCCTGACTCCTCCCCCTACATCTGATGCCTATTTTTTTCCGTTACACCACAGACCACCGAGCTTTTCCGTTTCCCCCTCATTATCTTTCGTTTTTGTTGCTTTTTCTTTCTCTCTCTCTCTCCTTTTAATGATTTCTGCAAAGCTGAACACACATCCAATCCTAAACCTACATGGAACGTCACCTAACTCCACTGATCTAAGTACAAACCTTAACAGAACACAGAGCTAAAAGAGTAGACGTTAATCAGCCCAGGAGCTCATAAAGTTTCTCCTCAGGAGATCAGGGTGGCTCTCCCCGCAGACGTGAGATCATCTCTCACAACATCCTACAGAGACACGGACGTCTGCTTTTTCACAGCGCAGTTGGAGGACCAGTCACTGTAAAACACTCACATTATCACATACACAAACAAAAGAAGCTGGGACCACGGAAGAAGTAACAGGAAGTCTGCTTAGCGTGACGATATTCCACCAATGGCAGGAGACGTTGAGCAAGAAAAAAAAAACAACCTTTAACCTTCAGTGGGTTTGGCTTTTCAGGCAGAAAGGGACTGCAAACGGGATTTTTTTCAAGTCAGGAAACTTGAACAAGGCGTCTTACTCCACATTCAGTGATTCACACACACACTCAGTCCAATTGCACATTTTTCAACATGACGTCCTCCCTCTTTCTCTGTAGAGAGGCGGGTTAAAGTATTAAAAGCTGCATTTACACACAACAGTTTAGCCACACAGACCGAGTGAAAACAACTTCTCCTCCGCTGCCCTTCCTTTTGGCTTGTCTGTGCAGGCTGCAGCATCACAGCTACCTTATCAGATTACAACACCTCTGATCTGCCCGCTGCCTTTAAATCACGTGCTTTCTGCTAAGAGTTTGACCTGTGGCACTGCCCAGCAGCTGCTAGGGGAGAGGAGGGGGACAACAGAAACCAGCATCTGTCTGCAATCCTAATCAACAAGCCTTTCACTGCTTCCTCAACACACAGCTAAAGCCTACAGAATAGATGTTTATAGCCACAACTTCTAATAATAATAAAATATTTATACTATTATTGACACTCAGGCTGCTATAAATCAAACATCACCTAGATGCACAGCATAAACAAAAATAAAAGGTCATAAATCTTAAAAATCTTGGTAAGATTCCTTTTCATGGACTGTACAAATATATATATTTTTTTCTTTCTAATAAAAGTAGATATTTTAACTTAGTGTAACTCAGGCAGCAGTTTTTATTTTTAATCAACATTACCATCTATGAGGGGAAAATATAACTAGCGCTAGCAGATAACAGGTTTATAATAAAAATAAAAACATTTATTGCATGTAAGTACAAGAGACTTGAGATACTTGCACAAAAAAAATAAAAAATAGGCTACCCTTTAAAATCTGCTTTTTTATATTCAAACAATCCTCCTTATTCACTGGTTAATTTTGTTTGGTAAAGCAGAAAGCAAGAAGAGATGGAGGAAATTGCTTTTAACTAAAGCAATACTCACTGCAGTGCCCCTGGGTACCAGCACAGGTTTTGATGCAGACTGGGGGTTCTGCTGGACAGCGTAGCTGCTTGAAACGCCCTGGCTGTAAGGGTCTGGAGGAGGGGGCGGCCCAGGAAGAGAGCCTGGCTGTGACTCACGGTAGCCATTGATAAGTTCTGTTATTAAGTCTGCACACAAAAAAGAAAAAAATTTGAAAAAATGAATCCACAGATCCAGAAATAGGTTAACAGGTAAGAAAAAATGTACATGTGTATTTAAGTGTCTGTATCCTATTTATGACTGTATATATAAAATCTATTTTAATGTAAGAAGTGTGTTTTTTTTCCCCAGACATTTTCCTTGTTTGATTATATAACAAATTCAGACTCCTATGCTTTTTATTGGGATTTTATGTGATGTAAGAAAGGCTTATATCTACATTTAGCCACTTTCCCCAATTCTACAGCAAAGCAGCATAACTCAGATGACCAAATTTGATGTCTTTCTCCATATTCTGAATTCAGATCTGGACTATTCTAAAACAAAATCACGCTTTGATTAAACTTTTCTATTTTGATTCTGACTGTATGATCAGGGTAGCTGATCTGCTGGACGGAGAAACTGCAGTTCAATCATAAATCATCATAAAGTCTATTAAACTTAATCAATCCCACCTATCAAGCCTTACAGCATGATACTGACACCACTATGCTTCAGCATGCATGGGGAATGTTTATCAGAGCATACATTTTTATAGAAAACATTCTTTTTTTTTTTTGCAGTGCAAAAAGTTAAAACGTGATCTTAGGTTGGATACAACGCTCTGATTTGATGGGAGCTCTCGTGCATTCAAGATGCAGAAAGGTAAACAAAGCAACCACCTGACACCTTAACACTAATGTCAATGTATTTAATCAAAGAGATATTACATTTTTGTAATATGAATTTGAGGTTTTAAATTGTCAATGCAATTTATAAAGCATCAGAATATGCAAATTAAGGAGAACTAGGAACAGATGCAAGAATATGTTTAAAAATTTGATCTAATGCATTAAAACTGTGAATCATCATCAGTCCAGCTGTAAGATGAGGTGAAGTGGGGCCAGGCATGAGGACCTACCAGGCTTTATAGTGTGATAAACTCACCGAGTTCTCCATTGGAAGCAGAATGGTGCGAATAAAGGTTGATTCCTGAACTGGGTGTTGGCTCCTCTGCTATGACAAATAATTATAGAGAAAATAAGAAGTCTGAGGATGAGGATGCCAGTTTAGATGAAATAAACTATATTTAAAAACCCCATCTGATATACCTTTGAAAAAGTCCATGTTTTTCATCACGCGTGGAGGCTGTGGAGACCCTGATGTCCGCCTTCGTGGGTTCGCCTCCTCTTCAGCGCGGAGGAGTCCAGATGCCCCCGCTCTCTATCAGAAGCCCTGTGGCTTTCAGCTTGGTTACAAACCCTAAAATGAGTCTAAAGAGAGGTGTCGACGCGAATTTACTGCATGTGCCTAAAGCTGACAGAGAGAAGTTCAGCTTCTTGTCCGTGTTTCCGCAGCGATTCTGATTGGCTGCAGAGCAGCGCGGAAATCCCCGGAGCGCCGCGTCACCTCTCCTACGGGAAACCCCCCCGCTCTGCTGCAGCAGAACCAGAAGGTTTGGAAATGATAGAATTTGGTTGGATTTTATATTATGACAAAACTTATAAACCCATTTTCTCTATATGCTAACCTGGGCTTCACATTTAAATCAAAACTATTTCAAACCCAAATAAGTTTCACGTGGTGAGGAAATACTTTAGTATTTCTCCTGGTTGCATCAGCCTCTGATCTGTTTAACCAAAAAATACTTTATCTTTTATTCCTCACCAATAACCTCGCTGCACGTTTGAAGACTCCGCCTCCTCCCCACATAGGTGTGACGTGACTAACCGTGTTTTTGACAGCTTTTCTTTTCCACCCAGTCAGTAGTTATAGGAGCAATAATGACATCTAGCGGCCACGACGAGAAATCGCGGTTTAAAGGAAACAGAAAACGAAAGGGGAGCCGTTTACAGGAAGCAGTGACTCAGCAGATGCTCCAAAACCACTGCTACACCACTTAATGATTCTTTTTTTTAAAGCAGGATTTCATAAGAAACTGACTGCAAAGTGGACCTTTAAAATCTGAACTTGAATCAGAGGTTCTAAAACCAATTTATATCTTACAGATGTGCAGTTTACAGGGATATTAAACACAAATATCTATAACCCACATAAGGGTCAAACTTAGAAGTGAAGATTTACGAAGCACTGCATGTTTAGTATTATGTATACACAGCAAGTCCCGGTTCTGTAATGTTTGCACAAACACTGGCCAAGCAAAAAAAAAAAAAAAAAAAGATAACACCACTGTGCTTGGCTGTTGCTAAGCTGTTTAACTTTCCCCGAAATATTTTGTCTGTTTCACGTTCTATTAAGTGAAACTAAAGGACTGGAATGTATTCATTCACTTTAATGATAAAACATCTGTAAAAATATACTGGCTTCAACTTTATACCACTCCTAATAATCCAATTGATGGATAAAGCATAAGTACAGTTAATATTTTATTTGCAAACTCAAGAGTCTATTGGCAATTCTCTTGAGGCTGCAAGAAACTAAATGCTGGTTGCTTTTTTTTTGCAGACATACAAGAATTGTAAGAGACAATTTGGAGGACTAAAAACCGAATGATATTGTGGATGCTTTTCAAACACATCTTCTCTTCCAGTATCATTAAGAAACCAATAAAATGTAGTTCCAACTGAAAAACATTATGAAAAACACAAATACAAAGTAAAATCTGGAAAAAAGCATTGCATAGACATTTTAAATCACACTTAGTTTTTACTATAAACATGAAGGCTCAAAAATTTAATATGCACCCTTTTCTTTTAATTTACAGCACTGAAAATAAAAAAAAAGAAAGAAAAAAAAAAACACCATAAAAGAGAATAGTTCTGTTTGCTCAAATCTGGTGTGTCCTCTCGCTGCTGTGATTCGATGAAGTTAATGAGACAATCAGACATCCAGCTGATGGGGGGGGGGAATTAGATGTACAACTCACCGATTTCTGAACAGTTCGAACATTAAATATTGAGGAGTCTGTACAGTTTAAGGTTGATACAAAAAATGCTTCAGGGATTTGAAAAAAAGAAAAAGAAATCAAGTCTTTATTTTATCATTTTCTATTAATACCAACAAGGCTGTTATTTTTTTTTTATTCCTATCTGTTCAAGTCTAGACCATGTTAAAAATCTAGCGTAGTAGTCATTGTTTCGTGCGTAGCGCGCCCTGCAGGGTCGTCCGTTTTGTCACCACCTCTCTTCCTCCAGTGTGGCTCAGAACCTTTCCAGTTTCCTCCAGCACTACACATTAATTTCTAGGCGACCTGAAACGCAGCGCTCACATGGAATGAAAAGAAAATTCACGAGGAATCGACACAAAGAACAAAAGTTGCACTTGGCTTTTTTCTTCAGTTTTAGAAGTCAAATGGAGAATAACTGCCAACTGTTCCCCTTCAAATATCTAGTCGAACACATTGTTACCCTCTGAAAAGAAATCTTACAGAATACAGAACATCACTTTTTGTTTTACTTCACTTGAACTGCAAAACGAGAGGGCAGGGGAGGGCGGTAGAACAGAAATAAGAATTTACCAAGTCTACACTGAATAGGGCTCTGGATCCACAAAGAGATCAGAAGGAAGGGTTATCTGCAACTTTCTTGTTTGTATGTTTTTTCTTGTTATAGTGGCTTCCATAAAGGCCACTCCCCTCCCTGCACTAACTTCCACAAGTCCTCTTCAAACCCAGCAGTCAGAGCCACGGGCGAAGATAAGAGCGGGATCATGTTTAATCGTTCTTTTTCTCTCCCTCTGGTTTGTCTGTGACAGCTGGAGTCTCTGCTGTGTTGTTCTGGGTGTGGTCCAATCCGCTGGTGCCAAATTCATTGACTCTGTTGGGATCGACGCGATAGATCCAACGCTGGTAAAGGTAGATGAAGAACACCACATCTGCAAGAGAAGAGGCAGAGGTAACGCATACAGCTCCAGCTAGGCATTTACATCAGAAAACAAGATAATAGTTTTAAATGTTAGACTAACATAATAACATAACTTGTATCTTAATTAAAGCATCAAGAAAACCAATGAAGAAAGCAGACTGATCAAGAAGAAGGATGTTGACAAGTTCAACGCAGAATTAAGTCATAAAACATTCCAATTTTTAACACCCCCAGAGATCCGTTTAACCCATCTGAACATGCTTAAGTTGAAATATAGCAAGACACAGTGGTCCACCTAAAACTGAGAGGCTGGGGAAGGAGAGCATTAATAAGAGAAGCAGCAAAGATGCTGATGGTGACCAAGGAGGAGCTGCACAGATCCATAACTCAGGTAGGACCATCTGCCCAAAACACCAGAGGTGTCAAGTAACAAAGTACAAATACTGTGTTACTCTACTTAAGTACACTTTTTAGGCATCTATACTTTATTACCGTACTTTGTTTTTCTTCCTACTTCCGGCTTCTACTCATTACATTTTCACACAAGTATCTGTACTTTCTATTCCTTACATTTTTAAAACAAACGTTACTTGTTACTCTGGGCTTCGGTTTAATGTTTATAAATATTTATTTTACGTCATGTGCGCCATCCAAAGCAGATCATTGGTGCCATCCAGATCTAGTGAAAACTACTGTAATTGGATGAGTCATATAACGCAAACACTCATTGGTTAGCTATTCGTCAAATTTGTGCTGATGCCAAAGGAAATCCTCAGAAGCAAGCAGGTGTTCTTCAAACTGCAAAAGTGAATTGTCTATGCCATGCTACAAGGTCGGACACAGGTGAGAGCGTATCGGGAGACGGAGACCAACAAGACCTCCCACATCCTTGGCCCTATCTCAAAGAATTTTTCAAAATAGTCGAAAAATTATGAAAATATTAAATTAATTTCATATAGTGGCATCTTTTTTGTTTGTTTTTTTTTTTTTTATTAAAAGGTTACTTTATAATTTTATACTTTTAGTTTTGGGAGCACATACTTTTTCACTTTTACTTGAGTAAAGAGGTTAAGTTGATACTTCAACTTTTACCAGAGTGTTTTTAAACTGCAGTATCTATACTTCTACTTAAGTGATAAGTGTGTGTACTTTTGACACCACTGCAAAACACTAAACATAACTCTAAACACTCCAACCGATGATGCTAACGATAAATTCTGAAGGGACACCTTCCTAAACACCTGCTGCACTGCATTTTTTTAGCTTCTCAGTCTAGCAACACAATGTTGTCAGAATCAGGTTAATAAAAGGATAAAATTGTCTTATACCTCCAGCGTCAGACATTGGTTATGTGTAAATGTGTTTTAATGAGGTTTTTATAAAGGAAGCTTCATGTAAAATTGTAACCCTGTGAAAAGAAAATGTATAAGATTTACATTAGAGTCCAAAGGTTTGAAATTGAAATGCTAATTTAAAATGACCATGTGATAAATTATAGTAGCGTTGTTCCAGACAGAACTCCGGTTAGCCTGCTCATTTAAAACATCAGATTTTCCTCTTAAAAGAATCGGAATCAATACAAAGTTTAACAGAAACAAGGTACCAGAATCAGAACCTGAATCATTCACATTCAAATGATGCCCCAGCCTCAGTCACAACTCAAAATCCAGAGCTACTGTGTGACAATTTTTTTTAAAATACATCACTTATTTCAATGATGTTGGTTTCTTATTTTCTCCTTTTCCTCTAGTTCAATCTGACAATCAAAATGTATTTGATCCCCTTAAATTGAAATCATAAAGGATAAAACACAAAATCATCTCCAACTACATATTAAATGTTAAGGCGAATCAAACCATCTTTCTCCCACATAAACTAAAGAAAATAAGTCACATGTTTAAGTAGTTACATTTAGTTTCCACTAGGTGGGGTTAGAGGATTAAGAAAAGTGACCAACATCTAAGCAATATTGTAATTTGATCAGATAAAATGAATTATATCAATACTAACAGATCAACACTTTTTGACTCTGTTCTTGGTCTTTATGAAAACAATTTTAGCAACAAGTAAGAACATGAATAACCTCAAACAAAAAAAACAGGCACCATATTCAAGTCAAATAAAAAATGCCTTCTTCTCAAAGCTTACAGAGGATAAAATAAGATTTTGTTTTCATTTTCTTCTACCATCTCTGATCCTCAATAGTCCGATGCTGTGGATTTTAAATCATCCAGGACATGAAAATGAAGGTTAATCAGTCAAGACTCACCATCTCTTAGGCATCCTATCCTGTACATCATGGGCATCTTGATCACAAAGGCAAAGAGATCATCGATAAAGGTATTGAGAGCCTTGTAGGTTAGCATCCTCCATGGGAGGTGAGCTACAGATTTCATTTTGTAGTTGATAAATAGCTGCGGTGTCATTGTGATAAAACCTAAAAATCAAAGCAGAGAAAGAAAGCAGCTTGTTATCAAATCAAATCAAGACAACAAGCAGGAAGCATATCGGTATATTTCAATGTCTAATAAGGCATAAAACATAAACAGACGCTACTGAACATAGGCACACAACTGATGAAAGTTTAAAAAAATAGAAGGTTTGTGGATGAACAATTTAAGACTAGAAAAAATGTAGGAAAATCTGCATTGAGATTACACTCAAAATATACAAATGTGTACATGAAGCTCAGTCTAAGATCAATAAAGCATGACTGGATCTTTAGTAATAGGGTACTGTTCTTTTGCAAAGTTAAAACATTAATAAGTCTAGTTAACAATTATATTTAGGTTTATAAACTAAAAAATTTAAGTGCCAGTATCAGCATTAACACCCGTAAAGTTATGTTGTACCAAATAAAATGTGTTTCTTTCACTCTCAGAGTGTTTTTCATAAATTTCTTACAGTAGCACTTATTTATTTTTTTTACATATTCGAACAGGTTGGCGACATTATTTTTTGCCATCAAAATGTTCCAAAGATAATAAGGTCTTGTCCTGGATTCCAATAACACTCTTGGCTTGAAATGTGGATTTTCAAAGGATTTCACTGAGGGGTTAAAGCTCTTGCTGGTATTTGATAAAGATCTGAGGTTCTGTGTGAACCACATTGCAGACATCTGATTTGGATGCCTCCATGGTGCCTCCCTATGGAGATTTTCAAGGCATGGCCCACTGGGAGGAGACAACGATTCCATACATCACCCAGAGCGTGCTGGAGGGACTGCGAGAGTCTTCTGGGCTGGGAATACTTTAAGACCCCAGAAGTCAATGGGCAAAGGAAGGTCTAGGGTTCTCTAGTAGGAAAAATTACCCAAGAGCCCGATAATGAAGTACAGCTACCTATCATGCACCTTCATTGCAGTTTCACATTTTACTGTCCGAGGTAAAAAAAAATTAAATAAAAAAAAAAGTATTTTTTTTTGTAACATTTCAGGTCTAAGTTACCCTAAATTCTGATTTTTTTTTGTTTTGTTTTTTTTACATGGCCACAGAAAGTGTGAGGATGTTTTATATAGCTGAGAAGACGATTAAATATGTTATAAAGAGCTCATAGACATGAGATTAACTTACCAAAGGTCAACAAGAAGCCATAAAGCATGCTGAGTACCCAGGAGTACCAGCCTTTGTGCTCTACGTACAATAAACTGTAGACTGCATAGCAGCCGAACAGAGGATAGAGTAGCCATGACAGGTACCTGAAGGCCATCTGTCAACAGAATGACACAAGAGGGAGTTCAGAACAAATCTCTGCTTTACACATTCATTAAATACCTGCAGGTTAATGTGTTAGAAAAAAAGAAAATCTCAATTAAAAGACCTGTTCATGTCATTTGATGATCATCAACATCATTGCAATTTTATATTATTTTTACCAACTCATCTGTGACTGCGGAAGCAAAGGGAAATGACTAGGAGTAAATTAATTTCAGCAAATTACTATAGCATTAAGAAATACATTTAGTCCAGTAATTCAATTCAAAAATGTAAAAAAAAAAAAAAAAAAAAATGAGGTATATAGATTAACGTATAAGATTAATGATTACTAAAGCAAAATCCAAAGCTCAGTTTATGACCAAATTAGAGCATCCTTAACAATTAAATGTACTGCCAAACATGGCACAGTATATTCAGCAAATTTCAGTCTTCTTGACATAATTTTATTTTTGTTTCTTTTTTGTTTCTCCCGTTCCAAATTCAAGGAATTAACGGTTTTAGCCCTGATGCATGTGTGTGGTGGCTATTTATGAACCAACTGTAGCCACAGTGCAAAAATGGTCAATTCCCTTTAACTTTTAGAAATACAGTCATTTCAATTAGTCAAACTTTTTCTTTACAATCAACTTACCTAGTTATGATGCAACACACTCAACAGCCAGCTTCTGTAGCTGTGACACTTTTAAAGCTTTGTAGCTCTGCGTCTTCCTTTAGAGGGTTTTAATGACTGGAGTGTCTGATATATTGGCAATGTTTTCATAGACCATCTCTTTTAAGACCAGTTATCATTTAATTTGGCTTTAAATAGTATCCGTAGCTAATTCTCCAATTTTACATTCCTGCAATATATTATTGTGTGTGAAATCATTACTTAAATTTTCCTTTCTAGATTGAATTCACTGAACAAACTACCTTATTTATGAGGTAGTTTGATGCTGCTCTACGTGCATCTTTATAAATTAAATAGTATTTAGTCACCCTTAGTCAGTTTTTCATTTTCTATATAAATCTGAAATCTACTTCGTCCAAACATGACCAGATGGTTGAATCTTTAAAATCAGGCTAACTTACGTCATCATAGATTTTGGTTGAAGACTCCACATATGTTGACTTATCTTTGAATATCAATCTTGGAAGGATCCCTGCAATTTTGTTCTCTCGGTCCAACTAGGCAGAAGGAAAAAGAAATAGATCAGAACAGTATTTTACAAAACAAAATTGACAAAGAAATGAGGGGGAATCTTTCAAATGTTCTCCAAATATTTCTGCATGTCTGTATGACACTTTTTGATTATAGGATTATTGTATATAATGCAGTGAATCAATTTGACTGTATTTTGAATCAATTTGACTGTATGATCTGGTGAACTGTAAAGTGCCTTAAGATGCCTTGTGTTGTGAATTGGCGCTATATAAATAAACTGAATTGAATTAAAAACTTTTTTTTTTTATTTACTTACTATTAATGTATAAAATCAACTTTGCTAATGAACTGATGTTTGTTTGGTGGCAATGATACTATAATTGATTTAGTAAAACAATTGATGTGGAATTGATTTCAATTGTACCCTCTTTTTTAAGGCAACAGTTCATTAACACCCATTTCAATCCTTTATGTATTTATTTCATGTAATTTAAACACGGAGGAGCATATCATGTTAAAGGAGAGTAGAGTAGTGCTGGCCTCCATCCTGATGACTTCAACCCATTATTCCTATTTGTGTAGAATCCTTTCATGTAGATGCCAGCATCAGAACCAGAATGAAATATCTATATATTTGGACCCATCAAAATGTATAAAACATTTTTCCACAATTTTTTCAGTAAACTTAATATTCGCTTCACTTTAGACATTCTGTGGCTGTATGATTTTTTAAAATCATACAGCAGATTAAAAAGAATCATTTTGATGAAAAAGTTTGAGCTATGACCTTTGAGTTTTTCAAAGCATCAAATTTATATATTAGTCACAGACAACACGAAAGCATTAAATGCTGTTTTTAAATAACACTTTTTACTA